GGCGGAAAATAACAGTAACGTGTTGAAAACCGTTTTTCATCATACGAACTTGCCTAATTACTGTTAAAACTGAGCCTAACATGTACGTTACGGATAACGTAAACGTTCAATCATAGGACCCAATAACTCTCTATCATTCGAAAGAAAAAAAGAAGAAACTGACCTCGGCTTCTAGAACTAAGCAGGCAAGTCCTTCTCGTTATATATAGAATATACCTGGGATATAGATTTTCGTATATACGAGGTATATATTGTAATGTAAAGAAAATATACAATGAAACCATGACACACAATTATCCCTCGAAAACTTTAAAATATTTATTAAGGCTATAGCGAAGCCAATATAATAAATAAATCTATTGTTATATATGTAAAGAAAAAAGGAAACTGACCCTATATTTTAAAGTAAATCCAACAAAAGGGTGCTATAATTTCATTTCAGGCAACAAAATATTAACAGCAGACAATATTCCAGTAATCCTTGGCATATGAACATCATCATAATCTAAAAATGTAATTAATTATAATAAATAAATATAGATTCAACACAAAATTAAAAAAAAAATTGGATGATAAAATTTTAATACCCTGTATATCAAAAAGGTTGTTAAATCTTAAAAAAAATAAACTAACAAGGTACCAACCTAAAATTATGTGACATAAAAAAATTCAAATTACTTAAAATTGGCAACACAGATATGAAAAATAACTGTTGTCAAAATTTAAAAGAAATTGTTCGAAAAATTATTTAATGAATATTTAAAATAAACTCACTTACCATTAAAAGAGAATCAATTAAATATAAAAGAACCAGAAAACTTTTGTTCTGATTGGTTAAACATAATTTCAAGCCTTTGGATCCAATTTTTCTTTTGTTTCTGTTGATAAAACAAAAGCTAGTATAGAGGAGTTTGGCAAGAATTTTTGTTGAAGATGCCACGCAAATTTCGTTTCTCTAAAAAGAAAGAAATATTAATGTAAAACTTATTACAGAAAGGTAGTACAATTTAAAATTATTATAGTGATAGAGAATATTAATATAGAACCTAGAATAAAGTTTCAAAAATGTAAAATTTACATAATAAAAGTGAAAATTATAACATACCTGTGACGTCATATAGACAAGCCAGAGAATTGGACGATTGGAGGTGTCTTTTGAAACAGTTTGAGATATTCTTGAAGTTCCTTAAGTTAATCTCAAGAATAATTTCAGTATCATGGATTTTTAACCTACAAAATGAAAAGAACAACAAAGTGATTAATAAATGTGAATTTGAACTTCTACTTAAAAGGTACCAAATTAATTAGTTAAATTACTTACCAGTTTAAATTATTGGCATAATTATTCTTTACTTTTGGAGGTTCATAAATGTCAATGACCTGTGGTTCCAAATAGACATTTTTGTCATTTACATATTGCCAACTTAATTTTTATTTTGTCATTAATGTTAAGTTTTATAGTCATCCTAGGCAAGTATGAGTGTTGAGTATGAATGAATTAGACATATATTTAACCTATTTTCCCATAGGAATCGTAGATATTGTTAATACTGTTAATATTTTTTTGCATTTACAATAAAGTATTGTGTGTTGTCTACCTTTCTCTATCTGTAATAATCGATATGCTAAATTACTTTCTATGTTAGCAATTTCAATGTTCTGTTACGAGGGTTACTGAAAAAGTAAATGAACCTGCTACTAATCCTGAGGTAAGAGTTGAAATAAAATGTAAACATATATAACAGTAAATTATTTATTATCAAGTATATATTATTAAAGATATAATAAAGCATATCTAATAATGATATTTCATCCACAATAAATTTTACTAGCCGGATATAAAGTAAAAATTAAACTAAATTCATTATATGCAACGTAGGGTTTAAAGTAAATTTACATTACCATTGATAAAGACAACGTGTAGCTCATGTCAAAATGACAGTTATGTAATAAAATAAACATATTTGAAATTAACATTACAATATCTATATCTATATCTTTAGGATCTACGAGGAATATCCCAGGTTATGCGCTTTGAATAGGATATTGACAGGATATCCTAGGGATGTTGTGTGCTATCTGGGAGCATGCTCTTTCCTTTTGTAATCTGTGCGTAGATAAGCTAATTAATATTTATGTGGGTGTAGAAATAGTAGTTTGTGCAACAAGAGTGGATATGATGGTCATATCGCACGAATTCCAATTATTTCTAACGTCAACGTTCCTAACATTCTTAACATTCCATAACCACCATTCTCTAACGACCTGTCAAACAACAGCTTTTGATAGTAAAGGTGAAATTTCTAAGGCGGGTTGCGACCTTCATACTTGCAACCATAGCTATTTTGTAGGCTATTTTTATTCGAAATTAGTCGCCAAGCCTACCAATTTATGAAAAATATATAAGCAGTTTCTTAAAAATGACATTTTTATAGTGGTGCTAACTTAGGCGTACTACTATTTCGCCCCTAACCACAAAAACACATTCATCAAATTTTCTGGCTCTCTTTCGCAACCCCATAGAATAATTAACCGGCCATTTTATTTGGCAAAAATCAGAATAAATCTTGGCTGTGCCTGTCAAGTATTAAGATGTCAACTGTAATGTATGAATGGCTCTTAAATGTCAAATTATTTAAAAATGTATACTTCTTTTGATATTTATTGCAAATAATTTGTAGTGTATCTCAATTCAGGCTTTCCATAAATAAAGGTACAGCAATGTTCTTATACTTTTTTATTATATAAAAAAGAGGTAGGATATAATGCTGGTTTTTTGTAGATAATATTAATTATACGATTTTGGATTACATATTCAACCAGCGAATTGTAAATAATAATTAGTAAACTCCTAGTCATAAATTTCCTCAATTCATAAAATTTAAAAATGAATCTTCTTACCTTGGGATTTTATGATACCGAGGTATTTTTTGTGTTTTTCATTTTAATTATAAAATTGTCATTTATTTGTATGTTGAAAGAAGGCCTTTGCTATAACCTATCGTCGCAAAACTAAAAATAATTAAAACATAGTAAGTAGTATTAATATAACATCAAATATTTTTTTAAAATAAAGTACATGATCTCAAAACAGAAATAATTTATAATAAATGCGGGTAAAACGAGGGGTAAAATAACAATAAATTAAGGAAAATACTTAAAAGGGCAGGTTTAAAGAGTATTACCATAAGAAAGTATATCCGTTCTGTTTATTTATCAAGTATTCCTTGAGGTTACTTTTGAATATATTTATTGTTGTTTTTTTTTTTAATTTCTGTAGGCAGTCTACTAAATTTTTTAAACCTTTAATAAAAATTGTATTTTGGGAACTTTTATTGATGGCTTGCCGTACATGAAAGTCAGATTGGCTTCTTGTATTATAGTTGTGATATTGCGAATTATATTGAATTTTTTCTAATAGATCTGATGCGTTGGTACTATGTCATTTTTATTTTATAAATAAATATCAGTCATGTACTGAACATAATTCTAAACTGAAAGCCAATTTATTTCTTTTAACATAGTTAATCCTTCTGTCCTTTATTAGTAGAATATAAATAGGCAAAGTAAGGAGCCCAAATATTTTACATGAGCAGGCTTAAGTTAGTTATTTTATCTAATTTTTTAATATTATTTGTAGATTTTAGTTAGTGAGTCGTAGAAAAAATATTTTAGAACATGAAGGGTAATTTACAAACTAGATATAAGTTTTTAAAATTTCTTTCTAAAACGATACTAATGCCGGGCCTGCTTATGCAAATTCCTTGTCCGCCCGAGCTTTGAAAACAGAAGTAGAAAACTATCCGTCGATGTTTAAAAATTTGTAAGTTGCTCTACTACACACCTACTTTGCGGAATGTTATACCCACAATATATCACCTATATAGTAATGTAACTGCGATTCAAGAAATGGCTTTGAGTTACGCTGCGCTAGTATCCTTTTGAATTTTGACACGTCCGACATCGGCACGTTCATTGGTTAAGGACGAAATTTTTGACAAGCGAAGCGTGAAGTGTCAGTATTGACAAGTGATAATTTTTTGATTTTTTTCTTCTACAAAATTTATACCGTTTATTACTATTTTGTTTCAGCGATATTTATTGTATTGTATTAAGTGCTTACTTATTTAATATGGAAAGCAAAACGTACAACAAACTTAGAAAAAGAGGATTCAAGGAGGGATTGCTATGGCTGTCATCCAAGGGTACCCGCCCTAGATAATACTTTTCCAGTGGGAAAAACCTTTAAAAGTCATGTATAACAATTTTATGTTTCAGTTTTCCCTTCTTTTAATGTAGGTACCACTTTTGACGTAAGTTTGGAATAATTTTTCATATTTTTTAGTTAATACCCTCTATTATAAATTTAACTAAGATCTTATGCTTTCCTATGGACACGATTCAAGGAGGGAGTCATATGGCTGTCATCCAAGCCCTAGATAATAGTTTTACAGTGGCAACAGCTTTTAAAATTCAAGTATAATAATTTTCTGTTTCAGTTTTTTTTCTTTTTCGAAGTAGGGGTCCATTTAAACTAAAAAATTTTATTTCACTTGATTTTAGCATAATACTGAATACTATTGAATACTTGATGAATACTTTCCAATTCGCTTGGCTAGCATCTAAGCGAAAGCTAAAGAGTTAGCATTAGTGTGATCAGGAAACGAATAATATGAATGTTGCCTTGTGTACTGTATAGTATGAACAGGCACATGGCAAGATACATCCACACGCAGCCGGCTGGCTACGTTCATAGTATTCCATTCCTGCTACCTCTTTGTAGTTTTCACTTAGACATTAGCATAACGTATTGTATAACATTCGATATCCGACACTGTATATCACAAACATCTCTTAATAACTAACGAATGATTTAATTTAATATAGTGTTTCTTTTTTTTAGTAAAATGGATATGGCTAGAGTTATCCTCGACTTTAAAATATATTAAATAAGTTATATAATTTCTCAAATAAAATATTTTATACCATTTTTTTTATACCTTAAAATTATATTTGAATTTACCGCCATATCGAGGTAGTTGAGCGGCCAGACGCCTTTAGCGCTGCAAACTGAGTGCCATCCATAGAAAAACTAAAAAGAGAAGGTTTTAATAATAGGCGGGAATTGTTTCCTTGTTTGTAGTTTATCATATCGCGCTTCACGCGCTGCGAGCACTAAATAAAAGCCGTTTTTACACCCATATAATAATTAAAAAATGAATAAATTTTAAAGAAATCAATAATTTTACTAATGCAATCTTTTAAATATCACTTTAATACAATATAATGATCAAATACAGGGATAATTGTTATAAATTTATAAAGTTAAAGCTACATTTGAATATTATGAGGTGGTGTAAATCTGGCTTTGCTAATAAATTAGGTTATGTTACACTAAAACATGACAGTCGCGGAAAATGTAGGTGAGTAAAATTTAATTAATCTTATTTTTAATTTAGTTTTAGTTAGATTTAAGTAATTTATAGCTGTAAAAATATACTGAGGTCCTTAACAATGTCATTAACTTATAATAAATTTACATTATCATGTGCTGCTCCAAATTGCAGAAGCAAATATTATTTACATTCACTTAATAAGAAATTTTTTACTTTTCCGTCCATTATTACCCTTAGATAGAAATGGTTTGATATTTTAAATATTCCCTACACATCTAAAAAAAAACTATTGTGCGAGGATCATTTTGACGAGAATGCCTTTACCAGCACTTTGCGTACTAAGCTCATTAAAATAAATTTGCCTTGCCTTTAGCGCCTTTAGAAGAGAATATTACTACTAATAATAATATTACATTAGATGAAAATTTTTCAGAGCTGCCTTCATCAAATTCGCTTGCAAAAATAAATGTAATTAGTAATGTTTTGATTAAACCTTCTGTTTCGAATATAACTTCAGCTAAAAGAAAGCTAGAATTTTTTAATGATAGAATTGAATGTGTTGAGGAACCTTTAATAAAGAAACCACGTGTAAGAACTGGTATTTTAAATCAAATTAATGCAACTAGAATTGGTAATTTAACTCCTAGAAAGAGAAAATTTTATTATATTAATCGAGAGCAGCGAAACAAAATTTCAAGATTAAAAAATAGTTTATTAAAATCTAAAAATAAAATTAAGACTGCTTTAAAATTATCAGAAACAAATTTATTTAAAAATTTTAGTTTAATTTTAAGATACACACTGCGCCTTTATTTTATATTTTTATTCCTGAGTATGGAGATTTTTGGAATGGATATTGCAACTACAATGAACCGAAATAGATGGGTGAAGGGATAGTAAAGTGGTTTAGTGCCAGAGTTACCTAACCTACAAAATTTCAAAACAACTGGTCTTTGTTATTGTTTTAAAATCATTTCTATACATGCCAAAGTTACCTATTCCTTAAAATTATGTAGTTCATGACAAAATTAAATACTTATTTGACAAGTGACTATTTTTAAATTTTTCTTAAACTTTGATCTCAACTTACTCAATTAATTATTTTTTAGCAACTCTGGCACTGGAACACCCAATAGAGCTTAAGAATATTAAAAAATTTTTCATGTAGTAAACTCAATTTATTTTTAATGTGTACTTTTTGTGATAATGTGTAATTTTGTGATATTAGGTAATTTTATAGATATAAAATAATAATATTAATAACAATAATAATCGTGATTAGTGTAAACGTATATTTTTAAATTAACTTCAATCCCTTGAACAATTTTCAATTTAAAAATGCAATTAAAAAGTAGATGTTACAACACTGTTGCTAAATATATGTAAGAAAAAACTACTTAAATGTTTATGTCTTGCTATTGTTTGTCTTTTTTTATTATTTTGTAATTTTAGCTAACCTTATCCCTATTATTTAAAGTAATTTTTAATTGTAAATTTTAGACTGAGTTATCTTATACTTTTTTATAATGCTTAACAGGACGAATAAACATTATTAATATTATTATTACAATAAGTAAATTTAACTTCTCGTTTTTCAGTGTGATATTAGGTATTATATAAAACTTTCAAAGTTATAGATATTAGTTCTAAGTTTTAAATTGTTTAAAAATATATTTTTACTGTTCTGTGATACTAGGTATTAACAATATTTTTAACAGGGTTCGTACTGATTGAATTAAGATATAGTTTTTTAGAGTGTTATATTAAGTTTTGTTGTTTAAATAAAAAGGAGGCGTTGGACGGCTATGGGGATGGAGGAGGCTGAAAAAAAAAATTACTTGACGAAGCCGATCATTAAAATTTAGTTGACAGAGATTTAGACTGAATAATTTGAAATATTTGTAAATCAGACATCACAATATTTAAATTTCACATATAAAATACATTATACCTAGTTAGCAAATACTAAAAACAAAAATTAAATTGTTTAGCGAAAATTTATTTACTTAGTCAGGTAAATTAATACCTACATTTCAGTATTAGCCCTGTTTTTTAAATTAAAAACAGATAATATAGGTATTATGATTTGATTTTAAATTTTAAATTGTTTCAAATTTAAATGTAGATGTTACATTTTTATATCAAATTAATGGCAAATATAAACTATTTTATATGTATTGATTGAAAAATTACCTATCTGTTGTGTATTTATAAGTTATTATTATTAGAGATATTTAAAACAATTGTGGTATTTATAGGGATGTGTTGTTTTTAATTATTTGAAAATGTTCGTTGTGTTTTTTGAAAATTGTATCCAGTTTATTGTTAATAAAATAATTGTTACATTGTTATCCTACATATTTATTCTGCATTAATTTTGTGTGTTTATTGTGAATATGATGTTTAATATAATGTAATGATATAGTTACCTATTCTAAATAAAATAAACTTATTACAAATGTTTTTATTTTTCATTTAAAACAAGTGACATTTTCCGTTTTAAATCGCTTTACTTAGTAGTTTTCTACTTTACCGACTGTACCGAATTATAGTTCATCATAACGCGCTAAGCGCCACTGTCGAGGTCAAACAAACTTGTTACCAACTATTTATAGGGGAACTGGCTACCCTGGTGCCATCTCTTTAACAAGTGAGCTGTACTACTACAGGGGATATATTGTGGTTATACCTTATCATACCCATTTTTTTCTTGCGCGAAAAGTGATTCCTTGTGTATCAGACGCAAACCTTCCAAGCTACATTCGTTTTTCTTTTTCAGATTATGAAGAAGAATACGATTTTGTCGTCATTGGGGCTGGCGTTACTGGTTCTTCTATAGCAAATAGACTATCCGAAATTGAAAAATGGAAAGTTTTGCTAATCGAAGCTGGAACTTTTTCTGATACTGGATTAGTCAGAATACCCGCAATGAATGCATTGAATGTATTCTCGGATTACAATTGGGGTTTTAAAACCGTACCACAAACCACGGCGTGTCTCTGTGAGTTTCATATTTTATTATTATCGATTAAATCTAAATGACAAATGAAGGGTTTAGACAAAAAACCATTCCATTCCATTGGAATAACTTTTACGGCATAAAGTAAGAAGTAGGCTTAATGAAGACGTAATTTTGTAAGAGATCAGACAAAATTTATAACGAAAAATTTACTATTAGGTACATCATCGTATTTTGAAAACTAACAAAGCTATCCATTTTTCTTTTTAATGTAGTAAAAACGTGCCATATTTGAAGCTAAATAATTTATTTAAATAATTAGCAAAAAGGGTTTTAATTATAGAAAACATTTTGCAAGTAGCACTTTATTTATATATTTATTTATTTATGTATCCATTTTGTGCTGATAAAATAAGATTTGATTTAAAACTCTAATTTTTCAGGTACTAACGATCACACATGCCCTGTGCCTCGAGGAAAAGGTGTAGGTGGTACGAGCTTAATTAATTCATTGCACTACGTTAGAGCTAATCCAGAAAATTTCAATTTATGGGGTAAAATTGTCCACGATTCAAGTTGGTTGTTTACCAATGTCTACAAATATTTCAAAAAATCTGAAAATTTCACACGGACAAATTTTGAAGCTCCCGCAGATTTGAAGTACCATGGTACTGAAGGTCTTCTGCATGTTCAACATAAATTACCTGGTCATCCCTTAAATAACGTGTTCTTACTAGCAAACCAACAATTAGGATACGTGATGTCAGATTATAACAGTGACAGACGAATAGGCGGTTCTATTTTACAACTGAACATCAATAATGGTAAAAGGGATGATGTAGGTACAGCTTATATCACTCCATTTTTAAACAGATCTAATTTAAAGGTGCTTACCCAAAGTTATGTTACTAAAATTGAAATTGATATAACAACTAAAACAGCCAAAAGCGTACTATTCACAAACGGAGGTAGTACTTACAGAGTACGAGCAACAATTGAGATTATACTATCAGCGGGTGCTATTTCTAGTCCTCAAATTTTAATGTTATCAGGTATAGGTCCAAAAGAACATCTAAAAGATATGAAAATTGATTTAATAGAAGATTTACAAGTAGGTAGTCATTTGAAAGATCACGCTTTAGGCAATCCTTTCTTGTTTTCATCAAACCTAACAATACCTGTGGAATCATTAGTACAACAAATCGCAGATTACCTTGAAGGCTTTGGACCTCTCACTTCATCGGGTACTCAGGCTCAAGCCATAGGTTTTTACAACGTTAACTGTAAAAACTCTAATGTACCTAATATCGCAATCTTTTTAGATGCCAGTGAAGTAACAGTACAAGAAAAAAGATTTCAAAATTTTAATGATGAATGTTTTGAATCTTTTACAAAGAATCCAATAGCTAATAGTGTTAGGTTCATTTTTCTATTATTAAATACAACATCTTCCGGTACCATTAGGTTGAAGAGCAAGAATCCTTTTGACTATCCATTGATAGATCCAAGGCTTTTATCTGATTCTGGTGATGAGGATATAAGGACAATGTACTTGGGTGTTAAACAGATTTTCAGAATAGCAGAGACTCTGTCTTTTAAAAACATTAATCTGACATTTGCTGGTGAACCATTACCAGCTTGTACAGACTTTAAATTTAAATCTAAACAATATTGGTACTGCTATCTAAGACATGTTGTCCAAACAGCATATCACCCTATGTGCACGTGTCCAATGGGTATTAATAAATCTACTGAAAGCGTTGTAGATTCAAATCTTAAAGTGTTTGGAGTTCAAAACTTGAGAGTGGCTGATGCTAGTGTTTTTCCAACCGCCATTGCAGGCTACCCTTCTATGAACTGTTTAATGATAGGAGAAAAAATTAGTGACGTCATTAAAAAGGAATATTCTTGAGTAAACGTGAAAGGTTATTTCATAATAAAATTATTGTTTGTAGATAGGTTACCAGAAAGCTTCATGTCAACAAATATATATTTAAAAAATAAATGAATTTTTATTTTGTTTCCATTACTTTATATTATTTAAAAGGGGATATTAAAAAATTTAGACGAGATTGTATTTTTTTATTTTCTTAAATTAATTAAATTTAAAGTTAATATTTACTTATACGTATAAGTTGCTACGAAATCTTAACAATTGTCAGAGCTAATAAAACAATTTAAGAATAGATGTATATTGAAATTTGTAAACTTGTAAGAACTTGAAATTGTAAAAATTAAAAATTAATTTTAAATTAATAAAATAATGCAATTTTGGAAATATGAACATGAATAATCCCCAATTCACCCTACAAAATTATAAAAAATACACTCTCAAATCGTATTCCTAAAACGAAAACAAACCAAAGAAAAATTGAAAAGCTGAGATTTAAAGAAAGATAAAATGAGTGCATCAACCAGGGATCGAACCTGGAACCTCAGGACTGTGGTCGTCCATACACATCAGTTAAGCACATGGTTTTTGACATTCGAATTGGTAGAATTGAAGTCAATCAGATTTCGACTCTCGTAGGCATAAAAAACAATGCCGGTTTAAGGTACTTTTGCATTTGTAACCGTCGCCCTTACGTATTAGTAATTTATACATCAGTAATTGTTGAATTTGTATATTATGTAAAAAAAACAAAATTACAAAATCCAAAAATACGTGTGGCACTCGGGGACTGCCGCGGTAAAGCTATTGCATAGCATTTTTTTATCAACTTATGCAATTATAATTATTTATTTTATTTATGCAGTATCTTTTTTTCTTTGATATTAATTCAAGTTACACTTTTTGAGCGTGGTGACCGATAGGAAAACAAATATTTTTCTTTTATTGAATAAATGAGAAGTTAATATTGTTTAAAATATTTTTATTATCTTACAATACATGTAGGTTATTCAGGAATTTTTATCATTGAAACTATAGGTTTATGGTAACTGAAATAAGAAACATAAGTTTGAGACTTGATATCCTCTAAATATCTGGAAAATACCGCGTCAATGGTGGCCCCATATTTTGTTGTGGATTCTTGTGGATCATTATTCATTTTCAAATTCAATTTTTCCGAAATTGTGTCTAAAAGAGATAGAATCAGTTATGAGAAGTTAGCAGCAGTATTTTGTATTAATTAAAAATCATAATATTCTTGTAAGGAAGTTGGAAAGCTTAGGGTTTGATCAGTCGCTGTTGAGATTATTTTCATCTTACCTAAATCATCGTTTTAATTATGTCTTTTACAACGGATTTTCATCTTCATCCCTCACAGCAAAATCTGGAGTTTCACAGAGCTCCAATCTGGGGCCACTATTATTTAGTATATTGGCAATAAATTTAACCTGCTGTTCGCTGCTGACTTAAAAATATTTACCTTAATCTCATCAATTCAAGACTGTTACTTTTTACAGGAATCGTTGAAAATGGGTGTAATGAAAACAAGCTGTTTATGAATGTGTCTAAATGTAAAGTATGTTTCTATACTAGAAGTATTAACAAGGTGAAGTTTGATTATTTATTTAACAGCCTACCTTTATCGGACTTGTGCACGAAGATTAAGGTATATTATTCAACCAAAAAGTTACTTTTTCGGATTATATTGAAAATACCGTTGCTTCTGCGTTGAAAAGCTTAGGGTTCTTAATTCGTAATACTCGTTCTTTTACAAACTCTTAAAGCTTGAAGATCCTCTACTTTTCTTTAGTTCGTTCCAGGCTAGAATATGCATCTCTTATCTGGAACCTTATTTACAATATTCATAACAGATCATTGGAAAATGTTCAGCGGCGATCTCTCAAGTACCTTTCTTTTAAAATAGATGAGCTGTATCCCATTCGAGGTATTGAAGAATCTCTGCTTCTTTCGAAAATAGAAGGGTAGTTTCCAGTGTTACATTTTTTTATAAAATATTACATAACACTATTGATGTACTATTTTTGATAAATTAAATAAATTTTAATGTTCCCCAAACGGCCATTAGATATCATAAAACATTTTATACAGCAAGTATTTGAACGAACTTGGGAAGAAATTCACCTATAACGCTAATGTGCTCAAATTTTTAATGAATTTTGTTCTGATTGGGATATTTATTTCGACCATTAGTTGTACTATGAAGATATGCAATATTTAATGAATCTACAACGGGTCTTCTCTTTTTTGAAAATATAAACTGTCCACAAAAATAACCAAAACTATCAGAACTTTGTTTACAATTTCTACTCGACATTTTAAATCAATCCGAAACAAGATATTGGGTTGTTGCATAAGTCTTTGCAATATTGCGCAATAATTTAGTTAAGACTACTTCAAGCGGTGCAAACTGACAAGTTCATATATGAATCAATTAGTTGTCTAGCTAGAGAGCTTCTTAATGTCCAACAATAATAAATTAATTTTATGTATTTACATTATTAAATAATTTTAAAATAAATGTTATGTTTTCGCAATTAATTATGCAACCACCCAATACTTATCTCCTGAATTATTTTTGTTTTCTTATTTTATTAACACACTCTACATATATTGATAAAGAATGAGGTAAGCAGAATTATTGATAGAGAATTACTTCTTCATAGAATCAATAATAAAGTTATTCCCCCAACTCCATTCAGGGACACTTTATATGTATATAAATTAGATAATCGTTTATTAAGTAATAGATTAATGTAAGAATTAAATATTTTTGGAGGTTATTATTAATTGTTTTTAAAATTAAGTAAAATGGTTTTTATTTCATATTAAAAGTCAAATAATAGGACTGTCAAAAAACGAAATACCCTTTCCATTTAGGTTCAATTCCAAACTACATTTTAATATCTAGAAAATAATTAAAAAAATTAAATTTCTACTACGAATTTTAAAATATATTTGCTCAATTTTTTAATATTTTATTAGTAAAATAGTTTTTATTTTTATTCTTTTAATTTGGAAAAAAATAAGCACAAATTAGTAATTTTGGGGCATTTCGGATACATCAAAACCTGCAACTAGTCCCGGTCATTAAGTTATGATTATGAATAATATTGTTAATAATAACATAAACGTTTATCCTATTAAGATGTGTTTGTCTTTAATTTTTAATAATTATCGCACGCCTCTGTCAAAGCGGAAATGATCGTCCGCCATATTGAAGGGCCAACTCGTCAACTATTACTTTTAAATTAGCTCCTTCCTGGGGTTTTATATTCAAAGAAATAAACAAATCTCTTACTTATAGGTGACAAATGACAGGAGCGCGAAAATTAGTCTGAATTGCAAATATCAGCAAATATCCGTTAGTGATGGATTGCACAACGTGGAAAATACAGAGCCGGTTTCGAAGTAATTGCATGATTTGTACAATTTTTGGGGATATTAAAAAGGAACCGTACAACGTCTTAGAAGAATAAAGTATTTGAACTAGTCACATTTAGAGTATCAATTTTAAGAGAAATCCAAAATTTGAAATATTTAACCATACCGGTTTCTAAAATATCGGCAGAAAACCATCTTCAGTGAGTTTTCTTCAAAGTGGCGTTGTTCCCTTATAATACATTTTTGAAAATACAGTTCATCAAATTTCTAGAGGCTTTCGACGGCTAGACAGAGAAAGCACTACTGACAGGCATCCCGACGGATTTACGCAATGAAAGTACACTCTGCGCATCAAGTACTTCACTATTTCATTCAGACGTAAATGTCAAATGTAAATTTCGCTAAAACATTTCTTTTATTTTCGTTTGTGTTTTTGCTCATTACAGTTTAATAGAACCTAAGTATGGAGTTTAATAGCAAATTAAGAAGCCGCGTGATTAACAGTCAATCTCGCGAAATAATAGCCAATGTTATAGAGTTTATGAGAAGAGAAGGAAACTTTAATTCACCTTCAATACCATTTAAAAATGTAAATGATCGTGTTGCTGCAGCCACAGGAGTATCTAAAAGCACAAATCATTTCTGGAGAGAAAAAAAGAATCGATAACCGTGAGATATCGGAATTTTCATCACCAAGAAAAACCATTAAAAAACCAAAAACAGTTAATGATATAGATGAAGCTGCACAAGAATCAAATTTTATTTTTTTATTATTAGATAGCTATTTTTGTTTCTGAGTTGTGTTCATTTACAGGCTCAATTTTTTTCCGTTTCTCCTTTTTGATTTTATATGGGGTTTCAAGTTGTTTTTGACTTATTTCGACGTAAATCACAACAACATACTTTTTTAATGAAGCAAACAAGTGTTAAGAGGTATATGTACGTGTAAACTACAATTACAAAAAATTGATATGAAACCCATGAAACCACCAACAAAAATGTAAAGCTAGCTTCCGTACTAGAACATGGTGTCATTCGTCGAGATAATTTATCGTTTTGTTTAATAGTTCAAGAAATGTAAATATTCCCCTGTTATTTTTTATAAAATTATAAGAGAAATAAATTTTTTTCTAAATAGTATAGTTTATTATTTTGTAGAAAAACAAAATTTCGAAAATTTTAGTAATGTTTCAGAAACAACCGTTATTAATAATAGGTACCATTTTCCTTAATAAGGTAGAAATAAAATATAAACTATTTCCACGATTTACAAAGGCCTACAAAAAAATTATAGGTATTTTCCGCTATCCTATAAAATTTATATTTTCTGACTCAATTTCAAAAGGTTGAAGGAATTCCAAAACACCTTTTATGGCATAATAATTATTTTCAATTCTACATACTATCTTTACTGCTTTTAAAAACGTTCTAAGAAAGTCCAATCAAACCAATTTAATCCCTAAACTATTCCACACTTTTAAAATTTAATTACCTAAAAATATTAAAATCTATTTAAAATAACTTGTTTAGCAGACTGTACAATAGCTATCTTAGTCACACGTAGCGCGTTCTCTGTCTGGGCGTCGAACCCGAGAATAACGATCAAGGAGAAGCGACAGTAGCTGTCGGTGCCTTTGATATCGGATGTACCTTTTTCACAGCATGACTTTGATTGATACACAACTTAGCACGCTGAGAAAACATGCTCATTTTCTACACTGAGCGAAATAGTTTGGCAAATTATCTGAAACCATTGTTATAGTCCATGCGCAAATGTAATGTGATTTAATTACATTGAAGTAGTTAGGGTTAATAGTAATGGTGAAGTTTCGGCACCAAAATATAATTCATTATTTGTTATAAAAGTAAAAGACGTTTATTATTTCATAATTTATCTATAAAATTTGTTCAATATTTGGTTTATTTATTGTTAAAAATGTAATAAAAGCCCCATTTTTAAATTAAATTACCTTTTCCTTAAGTAAAAATAAGGTAAATAAAATTAAGGGTGCCAAAAAAAATTTAGGTAACAATTAAAAAGACATTAAGTTTGAGAGACTTAACTAAATATTTTCAAAACTTTTAGGTTTAAAAAGTACTTACATATTTTTAGAATTACTGGATTTATATTATATTAAAAGGACTTTCAAGTTTATTACTCATTTCTATATAAACAAGTGTTTTCTCGCCAAGTTAAGCCAGATGTCATTTAAGGTTTATGTATTTAGAGTTAAATACCTGGTCTGGCTATCACCCAGACAATACAAATATGTCCATTGGACGTCTATTCGATATACAATTTTGGATGTCTAGACGTCCAAAAATGAGTTTTTTCTGGACTTCCGACATCCAATGGACGTCCAGTGAAGTATACAAATGGCACACTTTTGACCATTCAGAGGACGTTCAATTCTGGAATATATTTGGACGTCGAATACTAAACATTCAAAAAACGTCCAGGATTATATTTCCATTGAGACCACATCCCCACTTTTTTTACAGAACCGCAACTTACCACACACTATTTTTTATTATTAATAATTTGTTTATTATTTTCGCAAACCGCTATACACTATTTATTTTTTTTTATTAAAAATTGCTTGACCTGAGCACGAATCGAACTCACGACACATCCATTATCGTTTTACGCTTTCAATTGCTAGACGAGCTCGACCAAGGAACCACTTGAAAACTTTTTACTAGATACAGTTATAATTGAATAAGATTTCAAACTTCCGCTGATAGAATGAAATGCAATAGATTCAATTTGTCAATTTTTAATGACCAGTTATATTAAAAAAAGAAATATATATTATAGATGAGTATTATCTGGTAGGCTTAATAAATAATGACCTAAGATGGACGTCCTCTGGACGTCAAAATACTAATAAACTTAAAATTAAGTCCAAAAACAGACGTTCTCTGGGTATCGATATTCAGCTGTCAATTTAATTAGCATAAACGGACGTACACTGGATGCCCGGATATGGACGTCCTGACCCTCAAATAGATCTAAAGTGGACGTACATTGGACTATGTGTGTTGTCTGGGCATAGACGAATATTTTGAAATAGTACTTATTTAAGTATTCACCAATATTTCCAAAATCAACTCCAGTATGATTCATTCAATAAATGTAAATATGAATGGGCAAAACATCTTTATATTGACATAATTGTACCTTACAATTTAGCCATAATAAAGGGATTTCGCCTATTTTGATCAATCCTAATTGAAACACCCGGATTTACTGTATTTTTTTAAATATAATTTTCAAATAAAATAAACAAAATCTCCAGTTCATTTTTTATTAAATTTATTTAAAAGAAGAAAACATATATTTCACAAAATACAATACCTACATATGAAAAATAAAATGTCAAAAATGATTTAAATCATTATACTTTATATTTATGCATGCAATAAAATTCTTAGTTTCCTAATAACTTTTTTGGCACATTTTATGTCTGCATTAGAATACCTAAGTGTGTAAAAATCTTCATCTTATTACTACACAAAACAAACACCAAAAAATATCACTTAACATTGCTCACGTACTAAACACAACTTGGACTGACTTTGACAGATAACATCATTTTGAGTGATACACAACTTATTTTCGCACATGCGCGTTACAAAACGGTACCCTAAAAACACCAAGCTGTCGCTTCTCCTTGATCGTTATTCTCGGGTCGAACACCTCTAGAAATTTGATGAACTGTATGTTTATATGAACTATCTGTCTTATTTTAACCTGTAAAATACGCTGTTAAAATATACCTTGTAGATACTCAACTTGTATTACTTAAATGTAATGAATATTATGTACAAATCCTATTAGGTTGGGTAATGAAAAAGTAAATGAGAATATAAAGAATATTTATTGTTTGGCATTTAGAGTTGGTAACGGGAAATGAACATTTTACTTTCTCTTATTGTTACATTTTTACAAATATTCTTCTTTAATTATATCGCTAATTTTCTCTCCAATCATCAGACAAGTCATTGATGGATATCCTGCAATAGGGGTAGGAAAGACGCTTGCGTCTGCTACCCTCAATTTTTTGATTCCAAAAACTTTAAGATTGGAATCTACTACAGCCCCTGTAGATGTATTGATACCCATGGGACAAGTACCCATAGGGTGGTATCCAGTCATTGTCAGCTGTTTCAAATAACAGTACCAATATTCTTGAGAATTGAATTGAATGTTTTTACAGGTAGGGAGGGGTACATTATCAAATTTGAGATTAATTTTTTTAAATGCTGGAGTCTGACTTAGTTTAAATATTTGTTGAATACCATTATACATGGCTTTTAAATCTTTTCCAGAACTGTCCGATAACAACATAGGATCTATTAGAGGATACTCAAATGGGCTTTTATTCTTCAATCTAATAGTACCTTCAGATTTTGGATTTAAATGTATTAATAAGAACCTAATTGGGTGAGAACCTATCTTTTTAAGTGACTCAAAAGTTTCTTCGTCTAAACCAAAAAATTGTTGTTCGATTACTGAAATTTCTGAATAATCAAGAAAAATTGCTACATTGGGAACAGTACTAGTTTTATTATTTACGTTATAAAACCCTAAACCCTGAGCCTGGGTATTAGCCGATGTTAGTGATCCGTAGCCCTTTAGGAAATCTGAAAGTTGTTGATTAATTGTTTCTGTTGGTATGCTTAAGTTGGACATAAACCATAAATGGGATAATAAAGTGTGTTCTTTTAAAGAACTACCAACTTCAAGGTCCTCTATTAGATCTATTTCTAAGTCTTGTAAATGTTTTTTTGGTCCTACACCAGACAGCATTAAAATTTGAGGACTGGAAATGGCCCCAGCAGATAATATAACCTCAATGTTTGCTCTTGCTCTATAAGTTTTACCGTTATTTGTGAAAAGTACGCTCTTGGCTGTTTTAGTTTCCTTATCAATTTCAATTTTAGTTACATAACTTTGTGTTAATACTTTCAAGTTAGGTCTATCTAAAAATGGGGTTATAAAAATAGTACCCATATCTTCTCTAGTACCATTATTAGTAAAAAGTTGTATTATGGAACCACCTATTTGCGTTTCACTATTATAATCTGTTATATCATATCCCAATTGTTTATTTGCTTCTATAAATAGATCATTCAACGGATGATCAGGCACTTTGTGTTGAACATGTAATAAACCTTCTTTTCCATGGTATTTCAAATCTACAGGCGCTTTTGTATTGGTCCAATGAAAGTTCTCGGATTTTTTGAAATATTTGAGTATATTTTTGTACGACCAACTAGAGTCATGAAGTATTCTTGCCCATTGATTGTAATTTTCTGGATTTGCTCTTGAGTACTGTAAGGAATTAATTAAAGTGGTGCCTCCAACGCCCTTGCCACGTGGAACTAAACATGCGTGATTAGTTACACCTTAAAATAAAATATTTATAAGCTTTGCAAATAATGAAACAAATTTGATATTAAATTAAGTTATCTTACTCAGGCATGCATTTTTCTGTGGGACAGTTCTAAATCCCCAATTGTAATCTGAGAATATTTTGAGTGGAAACACACTAGGTATTTTCATTAAATCATCGTCAGAAAAAATTCCAGCTTCTATTAATAAAATTCTCCACTGTTGTATTTCTGAGAGACGATTTGCTATCACAGATCCTGAAATTCCAGCTCCAATGATAATGAAGTCGTAAGTACCGTATTCTAGAAAATAATAAAAATAATAATCCGTCAATCATCATAATTAACTTTTTTACCCTTAGTTATTTCTTGTTTTTGAATCAATTTTTATTTCACTATACAATGCAGTGCATTGTTATTCAATTAGGTTTGCCTGAAGATGAAGTAACTACATCGAAACCGCTAAATAAATAACTCGTTTTAGTTTTTTTTAATTTGGATTATATTGATAAACTGTGAAATTTCGAATACATTGGGTCCTATGATTGAACGTTTACGTTATCCGTAACGTACATGTTAGGCTCAGTTTTAACAGTAATTAGGCAAGTTCGTATGATGAAAAACGGTTTCCAACACATTACTGTTATTTTCCGCCTGTTATGTTCTAATTTAACAGTTTTCCATCGTACAAACTTGCTTCGTTACTGTTAAAATTCGACCTAACATGTACGTTATGGATAACATAAACGTTCAATCATAGGACCCATTATTAGTTCATAGAAGTATTCGAAGAAGTATTCTTAGAAATAGTATAGAAAGCCAATTCTACATATCAAAAATGAAACCCCAAGGAGAAATTATTTATTGTTTCGGCCTTTACTTGATGAAAATCCATATTATCTTAAATGAGTAAAACCAAATTTGGTAGATTTTCACAAAACTTTTATTTTAAAAAAATAAAAATTAAAAACACTACACATGACATGTTTCCAAGTACAACTTCTTTTTCAAATGTGACTAATTTACAATACGGTGTCCAATATACAGGGTGTTAGTAAATAAGTGCGACAAACTTCAGGGGGTGATTCAGCATGAAAAAATAATGACAGTTTGCTATATAAACGTATGTCTGAAAATGCTTCGTTTTCCGAATACGGGGTGTTAAAGTTTTTCTTAAAAACTGACGATTTGTTTATTGTTCTGAAACCGGTCAAGATATGCAGATGAAATTTGGTGGATTTTAAGAGGTAGTTATTCCGCATTTTCTGACATGCAATTAAGAATTTTATGTTTATCATTGGCGTGCATACGGGTAATGATCTCAATTCATTTAAATAAAAAAATGGTACGCCACTGAGATATTTCAAATTAAAAATCATTTTTCAATTTTTCATTAAATTTGTCACTAAAAATATCTGGCCTTTTTTTCGTGTGGGGCGCCGTTTTTATGCAAAAAAATAAAATATCTTAACTGTTCAGCATCTAAGAGACCATGGAAAATTTGAGAGTGTCAATGCAGATCGAGGGAGAACAAGAACACAAAGAACATTGGCGGCCGTAGAAGAAATATTGGAAGCTGTTGAAAACCGGCCTCAATTAAGTTGTAGAAGACTAGGTCTTGAAATTGGAGTGTCCTCATTTGTTGTGTGGCGGACACTTAAAGAACAAGGTTTACATCCTTATCACATCCAAAAAGTCCAGGCCTTATATCCAGGTGATGAAGAAAAGAGAGTGGAGTTTTGTGAATGGATGATTCAAAAATGTGTTGATATTCCTGATTTTCTAAAAATATTATTGTATACTGACGAGGCTTCATTCACTCGTGATGGCGTGTTCAATATGCACAATACGCATATTTGGAGTGATGAAAATCCTCACGCCATTAGGGAAACTGGGCATCAAAGAAAATTTTCAATAAATGTTTGGGCTTGCATAATAGATCAGTATTTAATCGGGCCTTATGTTCTCCCGAACAGATTAAATGGGCCAGGATATCTCCACTTTTTAAAAGATATTTTGCCAGTACTCCTAGAAGGGATACCGTTACAATTAAGGCAACGGATGTGGTACCTACTAGATGGCGTTCCTCCTCACTTTGATTTAAACGTACGGCAGTTTTTGAACATTAGATTTCCTCAAAAGTGGATAGGCAGAAATGGACCTACTAAGTGGCCTCCGAGATCTCCGGACTTAAATCCATGCGATTTCTTTTTGTGGGGTCACATGAAACAACTGGTTTATAATGAACCTATTAATAGTGTTGAACAATTAACCAATAAAGTTAATGCGGTAGCCGAGGAACTACGACAAAATCCAAGACTAATTTCTAATGTTCAAAGTTCTTTGGAAAGACGATTGCAAGTGTGTGTAAATAATAATGGACGGCATTTTGAACAATTACTGTAATAAACTTTATTTTGAATTAATTGGTTTTGCTACGGCAACAGTGCAATTTCTATGGGTAAGTTCAATTTCGATTTATTTTACTTCTTTAAATATGGAAACTAGTAGGTCGGAAAAGGGGACTCTTCCTCAATATTTAAATTTTAGAATTTGAAGTTAAAATTGGTGCCAATCGTTTTTGGTCATTACATACTATTCCCCATTTTAATATGTACGTGTATTTCAATAACACCCTGTATTGGTCTTCTATATTATTTCTATGGAAGTATTGGAATAACTCAAAAATTTGCCAAAATTTCTAAAATTGATATGTGACATTAATAGATTTTAATTTTAAAGGACTAATTCATTTGGTATAAGTTATGGGTGTTCACACATATATAATTTTTTTAAATTATTTCTATAAAAAATTATTACAAATGATGAAGATCATTAGTAAAAATCACGAAAAATCACCTTAAAATCCTAACAAATTAATGCATGAGATAAATGGTCATTTCTCGTTATTGAGTGCTCTTCTGCTCCCTCAGGTTTGGATTATTATATATTTTGTTTTCTTTACTCGGTAACATTTTTAAGACTTAACAATTTAACAAAAAAAGTAAAAAAGATTTACTTAAAAACAAATTTTTAAAATGTTTACGTACCTTCTATGGGTTCTTTTGTTGCTTTAAAATGTTTGGCATCAGTTGGAAAATCATAATTAGCAATATTTATAAAGCTGTCAATTAATATCTCCTGTAAATATTGTACAGTATTTGAATTAGATTGAGCAAATATTACATTTCCATATATGAAAATCAGTATTATTATAATTTTGTAATACATTTCTATAGTGGAAAGTCTTGAACTATATTACTTATTTGTATGGTATTAACTAGGTACCAGTAATTTTACAATTATTTAATACTAAAAGCTTTCATATGTAATATAATTATCTGTAGACGATAAAATTGTTTTGATTCTATTACGCTGTAGCTACTTTAAAAATAACTGACTTTTCGTGATTGTTGGAGTACAAATTTGATTAAAATACATTTCTCATGCCAACTTTTATTGTGTGTTTTAAACTAACGTTCCTTAAACTAAAATCGGTTAAGAAACTGTTGTGGCAACGCTTCTCACAATATAATAAAGAGGAAAAATACTTAAATACATGGTTAGGAATTGCAGCAGTCCAGTGGGACTTTATTCTATAGTATGAGTACCATCAGAAGTCTCAAACTTTACTGATATTAATTGTAATATTCAGAAAGTTTTCTTGATCTACACATCGTATAAAGATTTATAATTTGGATTATTTTGATTCAAATGTCCTTATAAAAACGAAATTTCATATTAACTTCCGCCACCCCCCATATAAGGTAAAGGTGCCTAATAAGAAGACCCTCCCTAATAAGAGACCCCATGCGATCTCACTTGTTTTGCAATTTAGGAACACACCACACCACCTAAAGAAATAGAGGCTGAATTAGTTCAGTATTGTCTCAATATGGATAACAGATTTTTTGGTTTGCGAAGGTCAGATGTGAAACGTATGGCTTTCGAATTAGCAATAGCTAATAACATTCGACATCCATTTTCAAACAACAAAGGTACCGCAGAAAAAAAAATGGCTTAGAGGCTTTTTACGACGTCATCCTGAGTTGTCAATTAGATCACCTCAAGGTATGTCTAATGCCCGAATACGAGGTTTCAACAGAGAGAACGTTGCTGCGTTTTTTAAGTTATATGAAAAGGAGTTAGAAAAAATTAATTTTGAACCAGAATTGCTGTACAACGTTGATGAGACGGGAATTAGAGACAGCTACGATGGAGGTCTCGGACAACTCTTTTAGAAAAACTGGTCTTTATCCCCTCAATAAGCATATATTTCGTGATCATGACTTTTCCATTTTTGAAGAAAATGAAGAATCTCCTATATACAGCAAACATTTCATCTCAACCACAAACAGAAACTTTAAATAATTTAGATGAAGATTCTTCTTTAGTAACGACAAAAGATGCTCTAGGAGTAAAACAATCCTGTCCAGGAACTTCATCGGATTCGTCTGAAGTTGAACAGGCCCTTTCAGACTCCTCAACAAAACAACCTCGTCCAATTATTACTAAGAATTTTGTAAGTCCAGTTCAAATAAAATCTCTCCCAAAAATCTTGGCAAAGAAGCCCAGTGCCCGAGCTGGAAGTGGAGCCTTAATCACCTCGTCTCCGTACAAAGATGAGCTAATAGCAAGTTTGGATAAGAAGGGAAAACGTAATTCTACCGACAGTGAAGTTAAGAAAGTCACCAAGAAAGTAAAATTTGATGAGACTAAAAATCTTCCAAGCAGTAGCAAGACACTACAAAAAACCAAGAAAGAAAAATGTAATGATACCACAAATCATCCAAAGAAGAAACCAGTTGCTGATTCTAAGCAATTCGGAAGTTCCTTACAAAGACGACAGCGATGAAGAAGACAATGATGCAGAGTGCCTGTTTTGTACGAATCTGCATTCTGCGGACACACATAGTGAACAATGGGTAATGAGCATAAAATGTTACCGATGGGCGCACGAATATTGTAGTGCAGAAGATGCAAACTTCATTTGTCCAATGTGTGAAAAGAGGAAATAATATTTAGCTTAAACCTTCTTACTGATTATCCAAAATATATGTACGGTTCCTAATAAGAGACAGGGGATCCCAATATGAAACCCCTATCTCTTATTAGGAACCCCAATATTTTTTCGCCAATATTTGCTTAATTAGCTTTAAGTTTATTTTTTGCTAAGTTCGCAGACAAATTGCATATTCTTTATTTATTTCTTATAGCAAATATAATGTTGTTCAATAAACGTCTTCAAGTCCGTAGAAAAGTCTTGTTTGGTAAACGTTACAATTTTTTTTAAAAAGGGGTCTCTTATTAGGCTCCTTTACCTTACGCGTGTCAATTTATTATGAGATATTTAATAAGGGGTACTAATCATTGGAAATATGCTACACATTATTACCCCTAACTTTCTACGAACTTATATGACTTTTCCTTCATCTTGGCCAATACTACGTAACTATGGTATGCTTTGCTACGTTACTTGGTATTGGACCTTAAATAAAAAAGCTTAGTTTTTCTATTCCCGTAAAATCTCTAGGTTACAATTTAGTTACAATCTTCGAACAGCTCGGAGGGGTGATTACCCTTTTACCCCCTTGTATCCGCGCCTGGTAAAAGGTGTTTACAAAAACATACCACATATTCCTTAGACCAAAATAAGTCGATTTAAGTAAAATTACTTTAGTACAAAATTGCTTCTTTTGGGCTCCAGAGGGCCTTGAAGTTACAATTTTTAAATCGTTTTTCCCATATAAATTTAAAACGGCATATGCGATTTTCCTGAAATTTGGTATATTGGTAGAGTTTTATGTGGCAAAAAAAATGGTATTAAAATTTTGTCCGATAATAATACATAGGCGTAGAACTTGATTTTTTAAATAATTGCAGCTTTAAAAATTCTACGCCAATGGAAGAAAAGGAGTTTGAGCATGAAATTTAGATTGCGCAACTCATTTACTTTAAAAAAGGTACTCTTGATAAGACTCGATTACTCTGGTTACATGGTTTTGACGAAATTTGCATTTTAGGAATTTTAGAACATAAACAATAATTATTAAAACACAAACTTTGTCAAAACCATGAGAGTAAATCGAGTGTTATCAAGGGTACTTTTTTGTAGTAAATGAGTACCCAATCCAAATTTCATACTCAAACCCCTATTTTGCCATTGGCGTAGAATTTTTAAAGGTGCAATTATTTAAAAAATCAAGTTCTACGCCTATGTATTATTATCGGCCAAAATTTTATACGATGAAAAACATAAAAATGTACTTTTTTCATATCTTCTTCAACACCTCTAATCGATACTTTTAACAAAAATACTTGCCATGTACGATTTTTTGAGGAATATTAATTATTTGCCTGCAATACGTATACAAAAACATTTATTGTTGGTTTCCATAGTTTCATCTAAATAAAAATAGTGTCAAGTTTTAACACCTAATCTCTTGTTAACGATTGAAAGTGTTCTATCTGACTCAATAATTAAAAAAACAAATGCGTGGTTTATTAATATGGCTGTACAATATACCAATGCAGAATATACCGATATGTTACTGACATTAGGATTTTGTGATGGAAATGCTCGAGAGAGTGTCAGGGTGTACTCTGAAAGGTTTCCAAATCGTCGTGTACCTAGCCACCCCACTTTTGCTGCTGTTGAGAGACGTCTTCGGGAGACCAGTTCCTTTGCTCCCAACACTGTTGATAATGGAAGAGAACGTTTTGTAAGGATTCCTGAAGTTGAAGAAGACATTTTAGAACGTGTTGAAGAAGATCCAGAATTAAGCACCAGACGAATTGGAAGGGAACTAGGAGTAAGTAAAGATGTCGTTCATAAAGTGCTTAGAGAACAATTGCTATATCCAAACCATAAGAAGCCAGTACAAGAATTATTAGTCCATGATCCTCAAATTCGTTTGGGTTTTTGTCGATTTGTTAATATGCAAAGAGAAAGAGATCCAAACTTTCTCAAGAAGGTTCTCTTTAATGATGAAGCGGGTTTTACAAGAAGAGGTATAACTAATACCCATAATGAACATGTTTATACCGTTGAAAATCCGCATACAATAAAGGTAAACCATTTTCAGCACGAATTCAAAATTAATGTATGGGCTGGAATAATTGGTAATTTCATTGTTGGTCCTGTCATACTTCCACGAAGATTAACTGGAGAAAATTATTTGGATTTTCACTAGTAATACCACTAGAGGTCAAATTATTTCCGGAAATTTTTTCGAGCTCATGAATATTTTGAAAATTTCCTGAGTCGCAGACGAGGGAAATTTTCTAAAAATATTCATGAGCGAGAAAAAATTTCCTGATATTAATTTGACCTCGCGTGGTATTCGGTAAGAAAATTCCACGCCGAATTATGGTTGAAAATTAAATATTTTTAAAATTTATTTTTCGTTTCTCAACAATGCAAATTATTTTCTCCAAGTCACCAGTGAAACATAAAAGGTGTTGTCGCCTTGATTGTTGAGTTGTCATGGTAACTAAGTGAGACCCTAACCTCGAATATAATTTCAGTTTTGAAGTTGTCAAGCGGCCCGCCGTAAAAAAATGTTTCGCTGCAATTATTTAGGCCTTCAAAGTGCTTATTTCTACTCATTGTAGTTGCATGGGAATACCATTTGAAAATAGAAAATAGTATATTCTTTAATTTTACGTAAGTTTTGAATAACTACAAGTGGTAGAAAATTGTTTTTCTGCGTTTTTATTAACATGCGTTATGAACGCTTTAAAATGGTATGAAATTCATAACCAGCGTCAGCAAGCATCAATCGTAGGAGGCTGTGATTATTGTATTTTGACAGTTCAAAATATTAAATAACTCGCGTTTTGTTGTGATAAAGAATATTGCACAGCAAGTAAAACCAACAAAATTACCTATTTGTTTAAAAATGAATCGATTTGAAAATCATACGCTATGCAAAATATGCGTGAAATTGTCTGATGTAATGATCAATCATTGCACCATGACTTACTTACTCGGATTAATAGAGGATTGTGGCTCCAACTTGAAAAACGAAAATTTGTTCCGAATTATCCACGAATATTTGCACCTAAACTACGCAAAATTCAAAGTGCTGAATGGGAAAAAGGTGAATAAATTAGTGTCTAAATATTATATATATTTTATTAGACATAGACACATAATTCAAAGCATCCAAAGTCCTGCATTTTCGCCATTAAGAAGAAAAGAAGTGGCCGAAGAATATAGAAAACACCTTAGCATTGTAACTAAAATGTATCAAAACTAAACCTATTATGT